GTCCCTGAGGAGTGGAAAATGCTGTGCAAGGCCTACTATTAGGTTCAAGTCCTATTTGGTAGTAGCCATGAGATAAATCAAGATGACTGAAATAAACAGCACCTGATAAAGAATCTAAAATTTCTGTAATGCAAGGCAATGGAAATTTATCATCCACGATTTGGCGATTTAAGAGTCTGTAATCTATTACCAATCTCCACTTTTTAACTCCACTTTGATCTAGTTTTTTAGGAACAATTAATAAAGGCGCTGCCCAAGGCGATGTGGTGTCTTCAATAATGTTATTTTTAAGCATATCGTCTACTTGTCGCTGAATTTCGGCTTTTTGTGAATGTGGCAGACGATAAGGTTTTACATAAACAGGTGTTGCTGACTCGTGTAATCTAATAGACTGTTTATACACATTGGTCACGGTTAATGGGTCACCGTCTAGGTGAAATACATCGCTATATTTAGCGCAAATTTTCTGTAGTGAATTTCGCTCTTCGTTATTTAAATTGTCCACTTGAATTAATTTTAACAAATTTTCTACCCTTTGAACCGATTTTGGAAGGGTATCATTTTCGAGATTAAATACATTATAGTCGGATAAGGAATTTATGCTGGGCGTGAAGTTTTTTAATTTAACGTCCGTATCACGTACATTTAAAATACGAACAGGCATCACTCCATCTCTGGGTGTCGCTAAAGTGCTTGCCACAAAAATACCTTCGCTGATTTGCTCTGGTAAAATGACGCATTCCGTGTTTATATCGGTTTGGCAATACGTTATAAGTTCGCATCGTGCTGGTATAGTGGTATAAAAATCATAAGATGAATGTAAAGGCAAAATTATTTTTTGATTTTGAAGCCAAAAGGAAAAGTTATAAGTTTCATAATCGACAATTACTGAGTAAGTATTAAAAAAATCAGAGCCAATGACCCCCTGAACATTTTGTAGAAATTGTTCCATCAGCAAAAATTTATAATGGAATTTGTGATTGTCTGTATGCAATGAAATATTCGCTGAGCCCTCGGAAAATTTTGAACCCGAAATACCATTAATTTTAACTTTTTGAGAATCCTGAATAATATCATCTGGGTGAACATAATTTGGAAAAATTACACTAATAGATGCACCCGTGTCAACCAATAATAGTAATTCTTTTCCCCGGTAACCTAATTTAATATAATTTAATCCATTTGCCTGAAATAAGTTTGCTTTGTCTGCTGTATTATTAGTCCCGAAAAAACCAATTTTGAGAATTATCGGAATTTTGACTATGATTAGCCGTTTTAATCCCACTTGTGGATGGCGTATTGTCGTTCATAAAGTATGTTTGTTGACTATTTCCAAAGTTGTTTCGATTTCGTTGAAAATTACTATTTTGCGAGAAATTTTGATTTCTATTATTATTGCTATTAAAAATAGTTCGACCGTTTGCATTTCGATTTCCTCTAAATTGACCTCGGTTCCTTGGATTGAATCCACGCTGACCGTTATTATTATTATTGCGATTAGAGTGGTTATTGTTCGTGTTATAAGAATTTTGAAAAGAGTTATTAGGTCTGGACGGATTGTTTCGAAAACCACTGCGTCGAATAAAGGAACGACCGCGCATATGATAAACTGGGGTAGCCTCCCTTTGCTGCACATTCGCATCCTGAGCACCACAAATGGCCTCAGTTAAATTATCATAATTTCGTGCCTGTATGATGGTTCGCAACGAGCTATTATTTAGACCATTTGTAAAGGAATTTATCGCTATTTTTTCGTTTGTACGTTGTAACACTGAAAGAGCCGCATCGTCATTCTCGGCTTGCGAAATAGTTAAATTTATTAACAATTCCTCAACGCTTTTCCCGTAACTTTCTATCGATCTATTTCCCTGTTTTACGTTACCTAACTGAACTGAAAGTGAAGTCGCGGATTTTTTGGATAGCAAATTTTTGTTAATGTCCGCAATTAATGCTGTATTCGAGCCGTAACTAGATTTTAACCTTAATTTCGCACTATCTGACAATCTGGTTTTTAGGACATAGTCCGTTAGAAAAACTTTACCAGCATCATTGAGCAAGGCATCATAAAACTTAATGGCATCAATAAGCTTTTTAACAGTCGCTTCCGTACCGTCCATACTTGGAACTAGGGTAGATGCTGTTTTAATATCAAATTTGTCTGACATGGTGACAATTTGTTTTAAATTTAGACTAATACTATCGTTTAATTCTACCACTTCTGCAAGTTTGGATCTATCATCTAAAATGCTTCGAATTGTATCAATTTGACTTTTAATTAGAGTTACTATTCGTTTAACTTTATCTATATCGTCAGATGTATGGTCTTTCGAATTATAATCTTTTCTAAGACTGTCAAAGTTTTCGTATATTATATCAATGTCTTTTGTTTTTCTAGCAGTAGTCTTTTTGCATTTGCGACGCTGCTGATTATCTTTAGTAAGATTTGCTAAAAACTGTTCTAACTCTTGATGAATAGATCGAAACTCAGCATAAGCGGCACTCATGAATCTAATATATTACTATTTTCTTAAAAAAATTACTGAGTAAATTATTATATATTTTAACACCTAAACATTTAATACTAAATCCATAAAATAACCAACAAATATAATATAAATTGCTAAAACTAACACTTACAATTTGTCCTTTATACTTTGTTTGCAAGCTCATCTACTTTCTTGCGTAAATCGGCTAACTCCTCAACGCTCTTGGCCATCTCTTTTCTGGCTGTGTGCTGCATTCTTCGTTGAATCCATCTTTTGATCCAAAAACCCAAGGCAAGGAGTACCATACCGGTGAACATACTTCCAGTTGTCAATCCTCCAATTTCGGCGGCGGTTAGGGTTGCTGTAGCTCCTCCACTGTTGCCTGCCTGAGCAATGATCACCTCTTCTTGCTTTACCACTTTGTTCCCCATATTTCACTCGTTTTATTTTTAACACTAAACCAACTATGTGCACATTACGATGTGCCTTGGCAGGATCGCCATGTTATATTTGTGTTCTTACTGTATATATTATAGTTTACTTTATTCACTCTTCATTACTGATTTGAAGGATCGTTGGGAAAATGATAAGATAAGATAAACTCATAAGTCTAAATGTTTATTTGGTAACTGTAGCCGTCCTCGCGTCAGGCCGCAATTACCTACAATACTACAATTACATTCTATGTTTCTTAACCTACTTAATATTAGAGAACTCTGACCCCGCAGACTTACGATATAGTTTTACCATAGTGCTGAGCAATCATGATTATTTGCAATATACAAATTTAATTTATAAAATATTATTTAAAATAATAAATTGAAAATATAAAAATTGTATACTTATTTCTTGGATACTACATTACGATAAAACTAAAACAAATTAACAAACCCAACCCAACACAACCGAACACTGTTTAACAAATAAACAACAAATTTATGAAATAAAAAAATAAAAAAAGTTCTTAGAATCGAACCCGGGACCTCTCGCATGCCAAGCGCCCACCCTACCATCGGAGCCATCTAGCTTGTTGTCAAATATTAAACGCTCTGGGAACAAAAACGGATTATAATTAGTGACGTCACCGCGTGAGAATAAGAATAAAATTGCGTTCACGCTAGCGTGAGACTAGACACAGCGTAAAAAAATACCATTAAAATGTAGAAAAAGAATAGATGTTGACATAGATTACTTGTAAAATTAGTTTTGTATTTGTTACAATGTTATTTTTTTTATTAGTTAGTGTAAATAACTATTTTTAATTATAATAAAGATTTAGGCATACCATTTGTTTAAATTTATTATAATTTACATTATAAAATGTTGACGGCACAAAATGGTTTGACAATACAAAAAACTTAAATGTCAAAAACTGCTTGGTTTCTTTTCTCTGTTTAAAATTATATATAATTTTACGAGGGTGGAATATGCTATTCCAAACGTGTTTCAGACATTATTTTCTCTACGACTACGTAAGAATAGTAACGCTTATATGTATACATATAAGCGTTACTATTCTTACGTAGTCGTAGAGAAAATAATGTCTGAAACACGTTTGGAATAGCATATTCCACCCTCGTAAAACCGTCACACTCGCCTTCGGCTCGTGTGTCAAATTTTTCCTCGAGCGGAATAGGCTGTATTCCAAACTTGTTACAGAATGTAATATTAGCATTTTAGTCCCTTAAGTAAAATCATTAAAGTGCAACACTTATGGGTGCCACAGTGACATCACTGAATGAATCAGCAATGATTTCACGTTGATGTCACAACGAATTCATCGTGTGACTCATTAAGGATATCATGTTGCTCATCAAAAGGGGAACACATATGCGTACCTCAGTGACATCACTGAATGAATCAGCAATGATTTCACGTTGATGTCTTAAATGATGTCATAATTGTTATCTGGGTTATGACGTAATTGGCGGTGTAGAATAGTACACCGCGCGCGGTATACTAGCAACAGCGTAAATAAAAATTAAAGAAAAAATTAAAAGTTTAGGTTGGTGATACTGAGTTGTTTTAGTATCCTGGTAATTTAAGTTTTAACCTGTTGGCAGCGCGCGTTGTCTACTCAGTGTTGACATAAGGTTTGTTCCAAGTTCGCCAAGAACCGTCCTAGAACGCTTTGCTCATGATAATTCCCATTATTATTAATAAGATAAAAAACGCCGAAGACGTTTACTTGCAAAGCAATTATTGAATCCAAATACCTAAATCTTTGTTAAAAAAAGAAAATTAATTATCGATAGGTAGTATTTTTTTTTATTTTACCAACAATATTGTTTTTTTTTTTCGAAGTTTTTTTGGATAGGTATAATATTAATTATCTATTTTGTTCTTTTGATGTTTATAGTTTATTTATGTGCATGTGTTTATTGATAAAGTACAAAATAAAATTACGCTCATATAAGTTTATTCTCAAAATTTGAGAAAAACCCAAAGTCAGTACGTTATCTTTCAAATTCAATACGTTTTTATTGCCATTTCAGTACTTTAATTTTTCTACCACTGGCAACACTGTTTATGCGAGTCAGTGCATGTGTATATGGTACATGTTATATTTGTTATATGTTCTTTAACCTAAAAACTTTGAATTGTTTATTATCTGTTATCGTTTTATAAAATATTGCACAGAACAAACAAATATTGCAAAAATGTCTGAAGATGAAATGGAAAAATTTGAAATCACTGACTATGATTTGGACAATGAATTTAACATGCATCGAAATAGAAAGGGATTAAGTAAACAACAACAAATTTATGGTAACAAAACTTAATTGATGGTATAATATACAAAAAGAAAACTTACTTTGCTAAAGATTTTAAGAAATTAAAATATTTTTATATAGGTATTTGGGCAGATAATAGTGACAGTGATGATGAGAGTACACCTTTTACCAAACAAAGTAAAAAACCTAAAAATTATAGTGCCCCAATTGGCTTTGTGGCAGGTGAGGTCCAACAAGCAGGAAAGAAAAAAGAAAAGGAGCTAGAGCCTATATCATTTAAAACAAAAAATAGCTCTGATGAATCTGAAGAAGAAAAGCTAAGAACAGGTATATAAATGTTGGTTCTATTTGTTATAATGTTTTGCTTATTTAGGTAAATTTTTATAGGATTTGGTGGACCCAGACCAAAAGCTGAATCCACTGTAACAGAAATAACTGGTGATATTGCTGGAATGCGTACAAAAAAGGGAAACAATTCCTCATTTGTAAATCAAGGTGTTGGAAATTGGGAAAAACACACCAAAGGTATTGGAGCTAAACTTTTGCTTCAAATGGGATTTCAGCCAGGCAAGGGATTGGGCAAAGATTTACAGGGTATTTCAGCACCAGTAGAAGCTCATTTAAGAAAGGGTAGGGGTGCAATTGGAGCCTATGGTCCTGAAAAGCCAGCAAGAATTGCAAAAAAACCAAATGTACCTTCATCAATTTAATTTAAAAAATTATGCTTATTTTATATTTTGCAGGAGAAAAAAATTAAAGAAGATGATGATGAAGAAACAACTATTGAGTCCAAGTGGCAGAAAAATGACAATGTTAAAAAGAAGACAAGATATTATTACAGGAGTGTCAATGATGTTATTGAAAAAGGTAAACGTCCAGGAGCATATAGAAATTCTCAAACACCAAGGTAAAAACTATTTAGCTAATGTGTTGATGTATACTATGGGAATATATTAGATTATTAACTTGCCAGACCCATTAAGTTCATCTAGTAAAAAATAGAATGAAAATATTTTAAGTTATAATTACTTAAATGATTATTATACAGAGTGTCACAAAATCGGCGCACTAATGGTTAATTTAAGTATAAAAAAGTTACAAACAAATTTTCTAATGAGTAATTTTTGAGTTATAAGGGTTTAAAAATTAAGTTTTTACTTGTGTTATTTTAATGGTTAAGTAGTTATAAAAAATCAGATGCGTCCAATGTACCAAAAACAAATTTTTGAATGTTAAATTTATTAACCCTCCTTTAGAAAGTATTTTATATATTAAAAATACGAAGTGACTAGGTACACGTTAGAGTGCCCGCAATTTATTTTTTACGGGCACGCTAGTGACGTCATAATAATAATCCGGTTTTGTTAACAATTCCCCGAACTTATAATATTTGTTGTCAAGCTAGATAGCTTAGATGGTAGGGCGGTTGCTTGGCATGCGAGAGGTCCCGGGTTCGATCCTCAGAAGTTGTCGAAATTTTTTAATTTTTTTATTTCATAAATTTGTTGCTTTTATGTTAAAAAGTGTTCGGTTGGGTTGGGTTCGTTGGTTTGTTTTGTTTATATCGTAACATAGAATCTACTAGAAGTTGTCGAACTCTTTTTATTTTTTTATTTCATAAATTTGTTGTTCCTTTGTTAAAAAGTGTTTTATTTTTATCGTAACATAAATTTGCCCATTTTAGTTGGGTTTTTTGCTCAATGGGGCGGGGTCGGTTGGGTTGTGTTGTTGAGTTTGGGTTGGTTTGGTTTTATGACGTAACTAACGTGCCCTTAACATGTATACAGGTACAATTTATTATTATATTATTGTTGTGCCGCCAATTTTAAATTAAGCGGCACGGCAGTGATGACGTTTTTTATCTATTACGTCACTAGCGTGCCCGTAAAAAATAAATTGCAGGCACTCTAACGTGCACCTAGTCACGGCGTTAAAAATATTTAAATATTAATTAGAAATTTCATCAATCAATGGTTTTAAATAAAAATAATGATTTTAAAGGTTTTTGAGATAAACTAGTTTGAATATTTAAGATATTATACTGAATGCTGAGATGTTTCATTTAGATTATAAATCATTTAGCTTAATTTTGTGTAGAAATGTGTGCTTTCGGTTTATGATATGTGCCAAGCCTAATTTAAAAGGTGAATTATCAATTTTGATTATTTTGGGTTCCAGAACTACTGCTGTAATCATTGTCATCCTAAACAAATTTTAAAAATATTCCCCAACACCAAAACAAAACACAAATTGCTTAAAGTACTTTTTGCCAACAATGTTGGCATCTTCAGAAGTGAAGTGTAACTAAATCTAAATCCTAAATCTACCATATTTATACTAATTATACGCTAAGGTTGACTGAACCATAAATGGACAGTTTACTAAACCGTGGACCGTAATCGCTTCAGTGAACACCTAAAGAGAAACTAACAAACTAATTTGTACAAACTAGAATTAGTTTCTCTTTACGTGTTTTGTTTAAAGTTGTCATTTTTCAACTATATTGTCATCCTCATTTTGACCCTGCAAAATAGGTTTCCTTAATTCCTTTATATGAATTATTTGAGTTTTGTTTTTTGGATTTTTAATTTTAGCTTTCTTATTTTCTAAAATTTTTGTTGTAATATAGGGACCAAAAAATTTATTTAATTTTTTAATATGATTAACAGGGTTTTTTTTAAATAGTTTTTGGTTTATTTTAAATTCGTTGTTTAAATCACCTTGTATATTATTTTTATTGTTTTTTTTATTTGCAACTTTTGTTGCACATTTTTATACACACCAGTTATTTTTTCCTTATGATTTTAAACGTAATCTGAGAACATTTCTTTTGGGTTAAATATATATTTGTATTTCTAGAGTTTGTGTGACCAAATACTAATCCAAAGTGTATAAAGCTAGAAGAACTATGAATCGAACTATTGTAACCAAGGACTGCGTAATTTATTAAACTATCTTCATTGGGATGGGTTTCTTGTAAAATAGTGTTTAATAAGGCAGGGTTTGTAATATGTGTTTTTATTTTATGTAGTTTTAAAAGTTCTTTTACGGTTTCATTATTAAATTCACGACCACTATCAACAATAATTTTTTGAAGTGTGCTTCGTATATAAATATTGCGAAAAAGTTAAATATGAATTCAAATTGTAGTAAAAAATGTCTGCATGAACTAGTTTAACAGGTTTCAAAAGGGTTTCAGTTAAAGCTAAAGGTTCATACGAGTTTTTTCGAGCATATTTTGTTTTTTGACAAAAAATCGCAAGAGTTAATATAATTCGTAACTGTTTCTTTAATTTTTGACAAAAAATAATTACGTTTTAAATACTGTAGTGTTTCTTCAATACCTCTATGATTGGTTTTACTGTCGTTATGATTTTTAATTAACATGATTTGTTTTTTTAAGTTGTTAACAGAGTTTAGTAATTTTGTACAACAGATTAATTTTAAAGTATTGGTATTAAAGTTATCCGAATGTATTGTTGTAAAGTTTTTAATAAATTCCAAATTTTAAAAATATATATAATATATGGTTGTGGGTTTTAAATATATTTATTTTTTTAAGAGATTAAAAATAATTTCTTTGTTCTGAATGGGAAGTTTTACTGTTATTATTTTATTATTGTAAAAATTTTCTTGGGCTATTAAAGATGTTTGTGCTTTATTTTCATAGACAAGAATTTGATTAGTTTTGTTATTGACAATATCATCTAATATTAAGATATCATTGTTAAAAACTTCTTGATAATGAATGAGGGGTTTGATCATCGGATTCCGTGGGATTTGTATTTACTTGGAGTAAATTGGGAGGTTTAATTTGTACATCGAAAATAATTTGAATATTTGGTTTAGTACTTGTCGATGAAATTAAGTCATTACTGTATATAACTTGAAGTTCATTAGAGGTTAATTTGGGAAGGGGTAAATTTAAATTTAGGTCTGTTAATAGTTATTTACGTGTCAAGCTTTGTAAATAAATCTTTTGGCGAGTTGGAAGTTTGTGGGGTGAGCGACGCAGGAGCAAACCCCATAATCCAGTGAGCCTAGTGAAGATTAATTGCAAAGCGTAACACGTACAAACTTTTATTTTTACCTTTGGATAACGATTTTTAAATTTAAAATTTTAATTAATGTGTCAAATATGTCATTTCATTTCATAACCCATAATCCAGTGAGACTAGTAAAGATTAATTGCAAAGCGTGACACGTACTATCGCTAACAAAAAAAACTCATACAGCTATATTGTGGCTGTGTGAATAAAACTTTTTCGTCAATGTCAAGCTGACATCGAGCTTTGTCACATCCATTATGACTTTTTTAACAACATTTTCAACCAAACAATGCAGACGAACTCTGGCAAGCCATTGAAGCCATTTGGAACGAGATAAAGCAAGACGGCGACTTCCATGCTTTGCCGTTTGCGGGCAGTAATTGACAAAAACAGAGGGATGACGAAATATTATATTTTTTTCAAACTTCAACCTAACTTTGTATTTAATTTTAGACCTTTCAAATGTGACGTATCGTGTTAAAAGCCATAATTACTCCAACGAAATGATAGAAAATCAGGAACACTAGATTTTTAAGCTGTAGGAGTTTTTTTTGTTAGCGATTGTATAAAATGTCATCGTCTTGTTGATTACTGATTCGGTTTCATGGATATTAATTTGAATTGTAGAAAGTGCATCTGCATTAGTATTTAATTTTCCTTGTTTGTAAATTATTTTAAAGTTAAATTTTGGTAATTTAGGACTTAAGATTTGGTTCTTTAAGGCCCACTTGTATAACAGTTGGTAAACAGCTGGTTAACTCTTGATAATAATTATGTAATGATTAAGCTAACTTTTAAGGCCCAGTTGTATAAAAGTCCGATTAACAACAGATTAATAAATTACGGATTAATCAATAATAGCTGGTTAAAGAAAATTTTGTTGTGCAACACTCGGTTATGTTTTAATTAGTTAATTTTCAAATTTAGGGGAATTCACTAAAAAATCACCAAATTTTCGTATTTGTCATGTCATAATTTTCGTAATTGTCAAATTAACCATGTCCTCCTCAAATTAATATTAATAATTTTTGTTGTTTAGGAAGATTTTAGTAAGTATATTGGTATTTATTTATTTATTGCATACATTAATGTGCAATTGTAAGTAGCTTTAATTACATTTCTTCTTGCAGGTGTGTTTTGTGTTTTTGGGTAAATGGTTTAATATTTTGTACAAAATATACAAAAAAATGGCTTTAGCGTAGGCTTGTTGGTCAAAAACGAAAGATTGTGGTAATAGGGTCTTTAACTTTAGTGGAAAAAAATCTTGGCTATTGCATTGAATAGGTAGTAAAAAATATAAAAACATTGTAGAATGCAAAATGAACGCTTTACCAAAAATCGTAAAGTTAATTCAATCATTTGCCTAAAAGAAAGCGCTTATTTTGTATTAGTTCTTAAATAAATTATGGCTGATATTTCTTTATTTCAAAAAGTTATAATATTTTTTGAATGACGAAATCTGGTTCTGTATTCTTCTATATTTAAATCTGTAAAATATTCAGGTCTAGCACGAAAGTTTCGGTTTTCTAGAAAAAATAAGAATTTCTACTAATTATAAAAAAAATCTTCATCATCCGTTAAATGTTCTACCATTTTAATGCTAACCACAGATAAAAACTAACAAAAAAATAATGACAATTTTTAAACGTTGACATTTATAAGGTTATGTGTGTTCTAACCCGTCGTTAACCACACAAAATTCACCGATTGGTCAATTGTACGTTAATCACTTAATTAAATTTGAATCAATGTTTATACAACTTAAAAGTTAGCTTAATCATTACATAATTATTATCAAGAGTTAACCAGCTGTTTACCAACTGTTATACAACTGGGACATAATTTCTTTAAGAACTAA